ATGATGTTACAGTTGGGTGGCTACTTTCACAGATAACAAGCCGTGTTATCGACATGAGTCGGCTGCAGTCCCTGAAAGCTTATGCCAAATTTTTCAGGTCAGTATCCTGTCACTAGTCTGAAATAGAGTAAACCCATCTGTTCTACTTGGGATTTACATAAGGATTGACGTGCCATTCAGCAGTGGATGGAGTTGGAACTACCCACACGCTACTGGGTTTAGCCTTTAACTTGCCACAAGACAGGTGCTCGCTTCTGGTGCAACGGATGAGGGCGGCTTTCCCAGTGGCCACCCGTTAATTGGTTTTCTGTCTGCAGTAAGTGGAGGAATGTGGTAGGTTTTAGACACATTCCGTTATTTGCAACCCTTTCTCGGTATGCCTGTGACACACCGAAAGATGGTCTCGCACACTTTCGAACACTCTCTTATGCCTGCTTGCCAATAAAACAGTTCACACTCAGTACTGTTTCACACCAGAAGTGAAACAGGAGAGCTTCTTTATTTGTATATGTCATAGGGAAGGTGAAATCCCCCAGTGGCTCTTGATTCAACTTTCCTTGCATTCCTGTTGAAGAAAGCGGCTTTACAAATCCAGCATCTAGGATTCTTCGTATATATCTACAAAGCTGGGGAGACCAGCCAAGGCCAGTGGGACTTGCCTAGCAACAGCCACACAAGAGTAACACGGCATTCTCTGGGGTAAGTGGTACTTTTTCAGTTGTCAGGTTTGCAACAGGCGGTGTGACAGGGGACGGGAAGGTGGAAAGAAATTAAACACCAGTATAGGAAAAGCCAGGGGCCTTGTTGCGCCATGCTAGCGTCATTCACAGCACGGTACTGCTACGGAACATAGCAAACACTACACATCTGGCTGCACTGAACATCTGGACACTCACGCATTTGGAAATGCAGCTGAGAATAAAAATATGTCTGCAGCCCTGAAGGAGGGGCACGCGCAGACCCCCCAAATAGAGACGTTTTGTCCCCTTTCAGAGTTGCAAAAAAGCACATTCTTTGCAGGATTTAATTGCACCACAGGTTTAACAAAGGGTCACTAAATCCAAGCTCAGGGCACAATTGGCCAGCCCTGTGGGTAGGGTAACGACAGAACCCCCTGAAATCAGTCGAGATGGTATGGACTCAGTGGATCGCATCCAGGATGTCCTTGGTACAGCACAGGTTTTACCAGCTTTGCCCTCCAAATGGGTTGGATGTCTGTTCCCATCGTTGTGAGCTGTGCCAAAGGGGGATAATGGGATTTGGAGTCTGTTTGGATGGCATTGGGTTGAAGAAGACCAGGTGTTGTATATTGATCAAGTTGGTACAGCGTATTCTTAGGAGAGAGTCAAGTACATCTTGCTGAAATACCATGAGGTCCTTTGGAACCAATGGACTATCGTTACTTGAAAGTCAAACATGGGATATTTCGGGAACTGTCAACCCTCCCATATTGTCTGTGTGAGACAATCAGGAAACCACTTCTACTGGTTGCAAGACTATCATTACTTGAAAATCAAACATGGGATATTTCCCATATTGTCTGTGTGATACAATCAGGAAACCACTTCTACTGGTTGCAGAAGAGATTTCTGCTTCCTTGTGGGGGAAGGAAAAGAGGGGTTTATCTCTGCAGGCCCCATCCCTCCACACTGAGAAGGTTTTCCTAGATGACCCTCGTTTTAAGAATGCCATGTGTGAAACCATTATTGAATATTGGCCTCAGTCCAGAGCCACCATATCCCAAACCGACTCCAGAGCAATTCATCAAAATGACCTGGCGTTTGGTGACCAAAAGATGATTCTCCGGCCAGCTGGCAGAAGATGGCAGAGCTAATCGTAGCAACCCACACTTGTCTTTCTCACTCATGACTTGGTTATGGGATTGCCTCACTCTGGTTCCCTTCTCAGGATTTCTGAGACACTCTGGGTCCCATTTCTGGGAACAATCTCCACATAAATTGGTCAGTAGAGGCACATTTGCATTCCCCCCCCCTCCATGGAACCCCTGTGTGTTGCTTTCTGCCAGGTCTATAAGGCCTCGCTGTAGCCTCCCCCCCCAACAAGCCTATCCAGACATGCATGGCAAGGATTGACTGTTAACCACAGACAACCTGCCTCCCAGTCCACCATTTTGGATTGTCCCTACCAAGCGAACTCCAAATTTCTCAGGAATGTAGTCTGAAAAAGCAGATTTTCAGAAAGGCAGGACACCCCTGCCCCTGAGCGAAATATTCCTCTTTAGTCATATGTGGCAGCTAGGCATGAGGCATTCCTGTTCATCTCCCAGGGGGACATGGAATAGAAATTATCGCCACCACAGGTGGCCGGGCCCTTTGGAGCCATGAAATAGAAATATCGCCACCACAGCTGTTCCCCGGAACCGTCCGATCCACTTACTCCTCCTGGCACAGCATGCGTGGCCATTGTCTTTCACGCTGTCCCAATCTCAGAAGTCGCCCGGCTGGCATTTCTCTACTTCCTTGTTCAGTTGGGCTCCCAAGTGGGGGAGACTGGCCATCCTGACAGATTGCTGGATTGTTCAGCAGCACAGGGAGGCGAGAAAGCGCTGTTTCCGCAATTAGCATGGTGCGAACGACCACCACATGCATGGCATGGCAAGGGGTAAGCGGACCAGCTGGTTCTGGAGGGTGGTCCAAAGAGCCTGCCCAGCTGTGGTGATGATATTCATATTTGCTTCTCTCAGGAGATGAATCCAAATATCCCAGTTCTAAACAAAAGGTCTGATAAAACCCGGTTTTGGATGCTTCCTGTGACAGCAGAAATTGGGCAGGGCATGTTGTCACACTGCTGGAAGGCCCCCAAATTTAATCCAGGGTCTACATTGGGTTTGTGGGGCACCCAACTGTTTGTGTAGATTCAAGGGAAGCACAGAAACATGTTTCCTGCCCTTCTCCATGGCCAAGTCCTTCATTCAACTCTTGTGTGTTCAGAAATCATCCTAAAGTATGGGATTTCCTGTCATGAAGGGTTTCGGTTTTTTACTTTTCGGTCCCCTGTGGGGTCAAAGAATGCCCTCTGGCACCACACACCTATTTACCTCAGAGCTTCCACCTTGGTGGAAAATGGGATCTCTACACAGACTACAAGAGGCATGTGTCAAGTGAGGAGAAAGACGGGGATGATGACAGCAATGCCCTTCCCTTCCTGGCTGTGTTTTCCTAAGGTGCTCTGCGTACAGGCAGGGCTTGTGTACAGGTCTTGGTAAGTAAAAGAGTCAGAACAAAACCCAAACAAATAAAAAAACTGCTTATTCTGAAGGAGGAGACGAAGCCCTGGGGCAGAGAGAGAAAAGGAGGGAAGGTGGGTTTAAGCAGCTGCCAAGATCAGGTCTAGCCTGTCTCAGCAAAGCGCCTTCCTGAAGGATGGATGAAGTCACGGGCAGGTTGAAACTCAACATAGCTGGGAGTGGCCGCCAAGCTGTTGCGAACTCCTTTAAGGACAAGCTAAGTTTCCTGTGTTTTCCCATCCATCTTAAGATGATTCTTATCTCCAGTGAGGGGAGGCAAAACCACAGCCTGCCAGTTCTTGGGACTACAAGCTCCAGCGTTCTTCAACATGGGCTCTGACGGCCAGAGTTGCCGGTTCAGCCTCAGTGTGACCAAAACTGACTTCAGATGGACAGCCCTGTCCGGTCAACTTAGCCTTTGATCAAACAAGTCTCCCCTCCGCTGCCGACCTGCTGCACGGCCTCTGTCAAGTTCTGATCTCTTGGGAGTCCAGCTGAATGGCCCATAGCCAAGGCTTGGAAGGGTCACCATCCATTTTGGAAGCTGCAGCTGGGGAATGAAGGGATGGAGGGGTGCTGGTAAGGAGCTGCTCAAGACCTTCCCCTTCAGCAACGGGGAGTAAAGAAGGCAGAGAGAGGGGGCAAACTTAAGTAGCCCCTTCTAACCAGCCTTGTTCCTCTGCTTCATGCCACTGCTCCTTCAGCTGCCCCAGATGAAGAAGCAAAGATGATGGCAGCGGTGGGGGGGATCATCTCCAGCGGGGTGTCATTCAGCTTCATCTCTCAGCTTTCCTAAGCAAAGCAAAGGAGCAGCTCCCTTCCCCTTCTGCCTTCAGAGGGCTCTCCTGTGCAGTCTAGGACAATGTGGGCCAACTGGAATCCACTTACCCGCCGAGTGCAGCAGGCCGACCAGGCAAGGCTGGGCTGCGTGACAGACACCGGCTGGGCACATCTGTGCAGCCACCACCCACCCACATTCCAGTCCTCCGCTCGGCTGCCAACAGACCTGCTCCAACCTGCCATCTCCATCCCCCCCCTTCATCTGATCTAAATAAATAAAGGATGTGAAGAAACAGGACATCACCTTGCTCTGAGGAAATGGGAAGGGGGACGTAGCTCAGGTGACTGGTTTCCTCTGGGACCCTGCTAAGGTTCCCCCCGCGCCCCACCCACAAAACCCATTGACAGCTTCCCCTTCCATGCTTGCTTCAATGCAGAGAACAAAGCCACCTTGCAGGTCACGAAAGCTGGCCATTGGTGTGTGTGTTTCTCCTCAACCCTTCTAAACAAATAATCCAGGTGACAGAGACAACGACACCATTGAAAAAGGATCTCGGAGGGAGGGAGACGGGCCCTGGTGAGTTTCAGGAAACCCTCCGTGGGAGAAATGGGGCGGCATGAATGGAAGGGCTCTCGGAGGGGGGGAGATGGCCCCTGGTGAGTTTCAGGAAACCCTCCATGGGAGAAATGGGGCGGCATGAATGGAAGGGGGCCCAAAGAAAACAGGGAGCAAGAGAAACAGAAGATGCTCCAGATACAGCTGGAGTGTTTCATCACACTGGCCGGGGACAATTCGCTGTGTACTCAAAGTGAAATGTCCGTTTGAGTTTAAACAGGGTAGAAGGCATGTGG